TGTACATGTGTGTGCATTCATCTGTGCACAGAGTAATACTGTGTGCTTTTGAATACAAATGGGGGGAAAAAAACATCTTGATTAGTAACCCCCCACCCCAGGTTTTATATTACAGCATGGCGTTCCCTCGGAGTCCATGCATTCAAATTGTGTTGGCTGACAGTTTTTCTGTGTTTGACACACATACAGGCGCCTCCCCTCTCTAAGGACCCCTTCCAACTCAATTAGTGTTAATAAGAATTGATTTTCTGCCTGCACCTGTCTTTCAGTTGGATTTCCTGATTTTCTTTGCAAGCATCCCTCAGGCACTTAAAGAAAATAAATAAATAACTGTAGGGTTGCACATTTTCTCCCTGGCCCGAGTTTTACACAATGATCACAGGAAGCCGCCTTCCTGATCTTCCACTGGTGCCCGTTTAAAAGCCCAACCAACCTTCAAGCTTTAAACCTCACGAACTCTGAGCCTCGTTGAACTTTGCGACTCGATCTCCATGTTTAGAAATCTGTATAATCAATCTTGATCATGCAATACAGAAACCGCAGCGGTACAGAAGGAGTCTCTCCATGTGATGTTTTCAATGGCCGCGGCTTGACACGCTGCTCTCAAAGCCAGACCGTGTTTGGCCAAACCACAAACAACCGGTTCGCATTCACCAGCTTGGCCACCAGCGTGAGGGGCAGAAAGGAGGTAATAAATAACAAAACCTCTATCCCGTTTCATTAATTTGGAGAAACGGCGCATATCTTCTCGTGCGTAGGTGTAATTATTTCCTTCTCTGGTTCTGCGTTGTCCATGGGGACCAAAGCCATCCAGTCACTGCCAAAGCCTAATTCAGTGTCTGCACATAGGCAGTGTTACGCAAGGGCTAATTATTTCCACACAGCCCCAATAAAACCATGGAAAGATAGAGAAGAAGACAGAGAATAGGAGAGGTGGGGGAGAAAGAGACAAAATAGACAGAGGAGGAAAAGCAAAACAAAAGGGAGCAGAGCAAGAGAGCGATTATAGATGGAGTTTAAGGGGAGAGTGATTAGACAGAGCCAAACAGCAGAAGAATGATACAGTCAGGAGAGAAAAACAAAAGATAATAGATACTAAGGGACAGAGGCAAATGGTGGAGAAGGACAGGGAATCAGATAATCGAGCAGAATCTTTCTCCTTCTTTTTTGCGTCCCTCCAAAAGTGTTTTGATTGAAAGTCTCACGAAAAGAGACTAAACCAACCTGAATGGCCTTATCAGCATCCACTAAAATGGTTTTACCAAAAAATCCTGCTACAGCAACTAAATATGGTGCAAGCAGAGAGAGAGAGAGAGGGAGAGAGAGAGAGAGAGAGGGAGAGAGAGAATGAGAGAGAGAGAGAGAGAGAGAGAGAGAGAGAGAGAGAGAGAGAGAGAGAAAGAGAGAGAGTTGTGTTCTCTCAAAGCCAGACGGGGCCCGCAGCTCTTTTCGCTCTCCTACAATTTTTAGAGATGATGTCATTATTCATAAAAATACCAAAAAAAAGAAAGAAACTGAAAAATGTGTCAGTGCCTCTGGCACAAGCAGAGAAAAAGGAAGATTGGAAGGTGGGTGCCAAAGGAGAGAAGCCAGGGAGGGATGTCGAGATAAAGACATCAGAAACAAATTAGCAAAAAGGGAAGGTAATAGAAGACATGAAACGTTCCTTTTTGTTCAATTGTAAAACTACTACCGCTTATCAATTTATTCTTATTGTAAGATTTAAGATTTGAGCTTGAGGTGCAGGTAGATAAGGCCCAGCTGTTTCCCTCCATTTCTGGTCAGCAGCATCCTACAAGCTGCTGAGGCTAAATGGCTGCTGGCTATGGTTTAAAAGTCTAAGCACACATGTAATGAATCTCCTCTTCAAACACTATTTCAGTCTCTTCTTCTCTTCTCATACATCATTATTATTTTACCACGGAGAGCACAAATACCTCCAGACGTCACGAGAGGTAATAATTCATTTTGTCTTGGCTGCAAATGTACATGTTATATAATTCATTACAGAGCACAACAGAGCAAGTGTCAACTACATTAGTGCTAGCTGCACCTAAGCTAGTTTCTGCTTGGCTCTGGGGTTTTAGAGAATCCTTACTCTCTGTTAATCTCATCACTAGTTTATAGACCTTTTACCTAAAAGAAAAGCCATAAAGCCTTAACTTTCTGAGGTGAAACGCTTTCCTGACACGGATACTGGCAGGCCCGCTGGGGCTAATGTATGGCCAAAGCCAAGGAACTCCCATGTATCACACTGAGGGGGGAAGGAAAAGGAAGAAGGGCTAAAAAAGAAAGGTTTGTCAAAATGACACAGGAGAGAACGATGAACGGAGACTGACAGAGACTATCAGTTCAGTCACACTTACACTCAACCCTCTCCTCCTCTATCTTACCATCTGTCCATCATCATTCCATCTCTGCTTCACTGTAAATCTCTTCATCATTCTAACACATAAGATAACAGATAGGCCTCTATCCATCAATCTATGTTTTTTTATATATTGGTCTTTCCCTCCTTATATGCTCACCTATCTATCTTCTTTTGGGCTCTGTGAAGTGTTGGCATTACACTGAATAAATTTACTGCAATGCATCTACTGACACATTTCAGTGCTAAGATAGTTCAACAGTATGAGGGACATTTAGCCCCCTTCGGATACACTTTTTTGATTTCCTCCCTGCTATTTACTAAGTTTGCCTTTAACCTCCATTTATTCCTACCAAGTTTCAATTCAAGTGACACGATTTATTCTGAAGCAGCGCGCAGGCTTTTTTTCGTCCATTTGGAAACTTGACTCATGTTATGCTCATTTTTGTATTAGAGCTGCCGGGATTGCCTTTCTTCTTTTAATTGCCCAGTTAAAGTTGTGCTTTTGCTGCTGTTACGACCCTATGACCTCTCCGTCTTATTGGAAACGGAGCGGCTCAATGGCAGATGGCTGCATTCATTTACCGCCTTACAAATTGCCTCTTGTACACTCATTTACACACTCTGAGCTCAAAATCGTGACAAAAGACATTTGTGCACAATACACAGGAGAAGCGGTCCAGGATCAAACCACGAACCCTGTAATGTAGATGAATGCGACGAATACAATGAGAATCTGAGGTAAAAACAAAAGAAACGTGAGTCACAATCAACACCTTCTGAAGCTCCTGATGTTTTTATTCCAAGCAAAATATCATTCTGCACTGAAATCCCATGAAAAGCTTCCAAAAGCCCGGCCTACGAAAAACAAAAAGTACTCAGGGACAGAACTTTTAACTAAACCTCTAATTAATTTATCAATCCGCCTTCCAAAAAATGGACTGAACGTGTGCGTGTGTTTTGCCTCACAGTATGACATGTCTGTGTAGCAGGGATTACCATTCAGTCTGAGCATTTTCATTAGTTCCTCGAACGCCAAGAAAACCGCATGGGTATGTGAAGCAGCTGTAGTTGTACTAGAGAGCTGCAGAGCTGACTGTGGCACAGAGGGGGGGAGTGTTGAAGAGCAGGAGCAAGGGTCCAAGTGCATGCCTGTGCACATCTGCCCACCAGCTTGGTGTGTATGGGGATTTTGTGTGTTTAAGTGTGTGTTCCGTTGCACGAATGTACAGCCAAAACCTGCTTCCCCTTGCTTGTGTGTCTTAGTCGTCAGTGAACATGTTTGCCATACGAATACATAGTTAATTAGCTTCATTACACGTAATATAATTATCTAAATGGTTTCCACACCTGTTCCTGCTATTCAATACCATTTTTTCCCAGAGAATTTGCTCTTTCAACAAACAAAACAAAAAAAAAAATTAGATCTGGTGTTCTTTAGTCACAGGTGACTTATTTGCACAAACTGAATTTGGGATGTTTCAATTTTGTCCAATTCACTGTGTTTGCAAATACTTCCCGTCACAAGTTCCCCAACAATTAGACAACAGGCCTCACAAATAACTATAACGACTATAAAAGATCAAATAAGATTATATTCCCTATATAGCAATGCTGACAACATCTATCAAATGTTGTGGACCTCTTCTTTGTGGATCTGGGAAAACCACTGACTGAAAGATCTGTCGAGAGGATAGCTAGGCATATCTATAGTCAACACTCAGATACATGAAAAAAAAGGCTCAAATAAAAGACAACCTTATCACCTGAGTCACAATAATCAACGTCTGCCTTCACGCATTATCATTTCTCTTTGATTGCCTCCGGCTTTTTGGTATATTTTTTAAATAGTGCTCACATGAAGAGTTACCTGCTGTATTTGACATCAGTGTAGTTTTAGAATATTTTTCACCAGAGGGAGTTTACTGTAAAAACAGTTGGAGGAAAAACAGCCTTTTTGTGTCCACGCTGTATATCGCATGAGGGTGACAACAGCTCTTTAGAAACACCGTCACCATCGGGGCAACAGAGGAGCTGAGCTGTTTAGTCACAGACAAAAGGGCATATTGACTCTTCAAATGGACCCACGCATTCCATTTAAGAAAATGTGCTAGTACTGAGAAAGCTAAAAAGAAAAAGCGGGGGTGGGGGGCGTATTAATGACTGTGAAGTCCTAACTCTACTTCACGTCATATTTTCCATTAGTAGCTACTCGGCCCTACTTGCCCCGGCACATCACGGTTTAGGTGGTTTTCCCATCACAAATGAGGTCCAATTGGCCGTGGACATCATCGGGATAAGACAAAAGCTCGAAACGACAATGAGGGGCTGGCTGAACCTTGGTGTGGGTTAGTGTATTATGATGATGAAATTGGATGTTTGTTTTTGCTGCATTTTTTAAAATGGGGTAAGCTCTAAGGAATGGGATCGTTTGTATGACACATCCAGTCATGTGACTTTCTGGCCAATCAGTAGCTGACAGACTGCCGTTGGCCCAAACTCAGCCCGCTTGGAACCCCAGTCGAGTAGATGCTAAAACTGTATCCGTTAGGAGGCACTGGCCACCGAATGGAAAGGTTAAAACTGCAGAACTTCATGGTCTGAAGCAGTTTCCCTTAGGGGTTTGCCCTACCTGACCACAGGCTCTGGAATGGCCTCCAGGTTGGCAGGCACTTGCACTCCCTTCTCCCACTCCTGTCTCCAGGGGTCCGACAGCACGTAGAAGTCATCTGGACCGAGCTGAGCCGAGTCCGGCAGCTTCATGGCCGTGATAAAGTCAGTACGGAACACCTATGGGGACAAATGGGCAGGAAGATGGAGAGAAGAAGGAAAAAAAACGTGGTTATTGGCTCAAAAAGATGGATGAGGAGTTGACAGAGAGGCAGGAAAGATGTAAGGGGGGGGAAAGGGAAGACGAGGAGGGGATACTTGTTAATTATTGACCTGGTTCTTTGTGACTTTTTTTCATGAAAGACTATTATCATTATTAATTGAAACTAGAATATTAAGGAACCTTGGATCATAAATCTATCCTTCACTGCAACAAAAACGCATTTTAATTGTATGTGGATACAGTTGCCAACAAATCGATTCAACTCCTATGGCATTGGATTTCCTTTGAGGCAGATGAATCGGGGGATACAATAGTTAACATGACTTTATAGTATTTTCTTCACCATTATGTCAGTGGATTAGATTTTCACTCGAACAGACTGTACAAAAATGTCCTCTTCTTAAAATTCATCATATATTAAAGTTGTTTGTATATTGTTTGTACCATGACAATGAAAACAACAGTCAAAAACAGGCTTATCAGATCTAAATCTGGGACACATCTTAGTTCAATAAAAATAAAAAAAGTTTTATATGCCAATTGCCAAATTAAGAAAAGTACATAAAGGACTCCTAAAATTTTCCGACCTCTTTCAGGTAACCAAACTTGCAGATGTGAGGGGGAGGTAAAAGTAAGATTATAAACTGTGGGACAGAAAGCAGATCACCTTACACAGCACTGATCAACACACAAGCCTGTCCAGATGGATCATCATGTGCGAGTTGTTTTCTTTTACAGCCTTCTGGAAGCCAAAGAGAAGGTCTTGTTCCAGCTAAAATAAGATCAATTTCAAATATGTACTTCTATTCTCAAACTCTTTTTAAAGGTCTTCTGCTGCTTTTTGTAAAGGCCACAGTTATTCATAGCACTCACAGCTACCACTGATAAGAACACTTGATGAAACGTAATGGGACAAATCAGGAAAAAGGAAAACTCTGTTGCACAGTGATATAAAAAAAATTGCGTGTACGCGTCTTTAATGCGTCTGTCCCCTGGCTGAATCCCAAAGACAACACCCTCTCTGAAACATTTGTTCTTTTTACCACCGGCCTCTGGCGCCGCTGATCCTCTGGCAGTTCAGAGTGACCCTCACAAACGTTCGCAGACTACAGGCTTTGATGGATCGTGATGGCACCAAACCGTAGGGCCAAGGTGTGTTTCCCCCTGACCACCAATCCCCCATGGCCTCCAACCACTGCTTCTTTTTACATCGCGGCTGACGCGTAACACACCAGGAAAGCGGGAACTGAACTGACGCATTTGTCTTGTGAGGTATGTTTATTGATTTTGTGGTGCTGATAACAGCCGTGTCTGTGGATTACTAGGGTAATCCGTCATAGGCCCTGTAGTCACTTATCAATGGTAGTAATGCACTGCTTTGTGAGTACAAATGCACTCTACTCAAAGGAGCCTACTCAGAGCAGCTGATGACTGCCTGATAAAACATTTATGACAACTTGTGCTGGTATAAATGATGTGGAGATGAAAGCGTATCTCATATCATTGCAGGAGCATGTATCCTTACATCTCATGGGTGTCATCGTACGAGGGGGGTTTTCACACATTTTACTGCACGTAGGAGAGCGTTCAACATAGGGGGTAGATATATGTGAGGTAATTTAGAAAATTTGTGAAGCACGGACTCACAGTAGAGGTTTCAAAAAAAAAAAAAAAAAGAGGGAGGAGGAGGGGAAGGACGGATATGTTGATGGTAACAATTACGGTAAAGTGTTGACAACAACCTAGAGACCTTTAAAGGTCAACACAAACTACAGTAAGTGTATACAGAGTTAATATAGAGGTATTCAAATTATGTATGTAGGAGGGCTCTATAAATAAACAAGGTGAGCTTGAGTGTGATGCAGTGTTTAGAGGACCTGAGGGAGTGGGAGGATTGGAGCAGACACAGTCACTCTCACACGTACTGCGAACGCACACATAAAGCCTCTGTCTGCTCCAACGGGGACCTGAAGCAATGATATTATCAGTAATAAAGTCAAGGACATCAGTAAAAAAAATAAAACACACACAGGCCCATACAAAAACAAACAAACAAATAAAGGGTGTACACACACGTCTTATATAGTGCCTCGCAAAATCCACTAAATGACTTCACATTTTAATCCATACTTAAATAAATAAATTGAGGACGAGGAGGGCTTTTTGACCCTCATCGTCCTCATTTTATTAGCTGTTCTCCTTCACTCAACCCCAAACAAACCCCCTCAAGGTCCATCTTTGCCTTCTGCGTCTTAAATTATATTCCTTATTCTGATCTAAAGAGGGAAACGAGAGAAAAAGGGATTCAAGAAAACAAAAGGGAGATCACAGGAACTGAGAGAAAGCAACAGTTTCCAAAAACATTTTCTATATCGGAGCAAACATTGTTACAATAACTTACTATTAAAAGAGTTGCAATTCACCAATAAGAAATGATACACTAAAAATATGGTTAAATCGAGTTAAAAAAATGTCCTATGATGTGAGCCAATTGAGTTCCTCAAGGGCACATTCTGATGCCTTTCCTTTCTCCCCTCCGCTTGCTACAACTTTCTCCGCTTCACGCGTGACGAGACGCAGCCAAAATAAAGACTCGATGATCTGGTGTGGTATCACGTCCAATCACAACATACATCTACAACTCTGCTTGTTCCTAATATAAGTGATACTATATAAAAAAATTGATGAAGGAGAGGATAATGAGAAAGAAAAAGAAAACGAGACAGATCAGCTAAAAACGAGCGACGGTGGCTTCATGCCGAACAATTATGTTTCAAATCTGGCTTTGGTGGAGTAGAGTGCTGACATTTACTAAGTAGCACTAATGCAGCGCTTTAAAAAGGTGAGCCGAGTTTAAAGTAGGTGTAGTGGGTTTTATACACTCCTGGGGCTCATCGGAATACCATTAATTTGCGGATTTTTGGACATTAACCAGAAGTGTAAAGCAAATGAAAACATTGGCCTGATGACTGACTGACAAGCCTGCACACGTGCTACATAATGAATGCATGTTGATGCCTTCGGGGGGGGGGATGCTGATACAACTCAAGCTTGCGAAACAAATAGGATAGAAGCAATCAAATTACCAGATTATGTAAACAGGATGATTGTCGAACTCGTTGTTTACCTCGTTTGCCATCAACCGATTAGAAACAGAGATTTATTTGTTAACCAAACAGGCTACAATTCTTCTTGAGGGCGACGACTTGCATACAAACTTTCTTTATGACACATCCAACACCTCTCAAGGGGGTAAGCAGAAGGTGTGCAATGTTTTTGGGAGCCTTTATAAATGAGGATGTTTCAGTAGAGGAAGAGGGGAGGGATGGCATGGATGCAGGGAAGAGGACAGAAGCGAGCACTGATTTATGTTGAGTAAAGGCAGGAAAGGGACTGAAAAAGAAGAAAAGAAAGAAGAGAAGTGTTATTAATTCAGTTGCAAGGACAGATGAAAGACCAGGGTGGAGGGAGAGGAGGCTGCCTGCGTGTGTCACGGTGTGCTATATGGAAAGGCCGTGCGTAAAAAGCTGTATCCTTTGCATCTGCTGCCTGGCTGCCTCCGAGGACCGGCAGCCAGCACAAATAAATAATGCAGCGATGGAGGGAGGATGTGTGCGCGTCTGTGTGAGCATGTATACAAACACGGGGGTGTTTTGACTGCGTGCTGTTGAGCGCACGCAGACCTGCGGAACCCGTGTGACTGCTGGCGTTCGTGGAGCTGTGTGACGGCCGGATTTTCCGAGTGCGCGAAGACGGTAAGCCAAGGTCAAGATGGATCACGTCTTCCCTTTCAGCAATTCAAGGGGAGGACTGTCAGATACTGAGGGCGATGCACTCCTCCTTAATCTCCCTTCTTTTCTCCTCCATTTATCATCTTCTTGCTCTGTTTTCAAGCTTTTTTTTTTTTATCACCGGTGCAGAGAAATGGTGGGATAGGAGGGGAAGGGGGAGGAGAGGGGAGAGGAGGACAGGGATATGAAGTGAAAAGAAATTAGGAAGATATCATTTGGAGAGACGAAGAAAGGAGGGATAAGACAAAGATGGGAAGGAGAAAAAAGATGGAGAAGACATAGGAGGAGAGGCCCACAGTATATCAGTTTTATTGCTGGCTGTTTGTACAGGAATGGCTGTGGCTAATTAATGTCTAGGAAACACTATTACAAGCTTCTGCAGTTTTATGTTCTGCCGTGTATCTCTCTCTGCCTCCGCCCGTCTCCCTCCGACTCATCGCTGCCCTCTCCTCCAACTCTAGCTCTCTTCATCCATTTCTTTTTTCTTTTTTTTACCTGACAGACAGCTGGAAGTCACTCAGCTCTCAGTGAAAGATGACAGGCAGATAGAAAGGGAGCACTAAAGGGGACAGGCGGGTCGAGGAAAGAAGAACCATTTTGTTTCTAAACGGGAAAACACACAATCCAAATGAGGTGCATTCAGCTCGGCGTTCACGGAGACGCCGAACAAATCCAGTGGAAGAAGAAGGAAAAAAAAAAGGAAAACCCCTCAAGACCTGATTAGATTTGCGTAACTAGTTTATCTTCAACAGAGTCAATTAATGTCTGTAATGCACGTAGGGACAAAAACAAAGACATGTATTTGGCTCTGTTGTATCTGAGCAACTAATGAAGAGTCATGTGTGGGAGTGACGCAACAGGCGTAATTTCGGTTTTTTTTGCGCAGACAGACTGTTGTGTAATGAGGCTGGGACGGCAATGGAAACCCTGTCACCAATTAATCAGAAAGTGCATTACTTTTTCCATTTATCACGTGATTTATTAGTAGCTGGAGAGCCTTTTCCACATCGATCAAAACGTAATAACTTTACGCTGAGGACATGCGACTGCATTTTGCCATTTCCTCACAGCCTTCCAAATCTGATAAATCACAATTTGCAAATGAAAACACAGAGGATGCTCAACCCCTCCCAAAAAAAAAAAAAAAAAAAAACGGAATGAGGAGAAAATTTCCAGGCAGCAGACACTCGAGACGTTTCAACAACCCATCAACCTTCCCTTTTCTGTTTGTGAGAATGGTTGTTTACATATTAGAACTATTCTGCTTTAACTGGGACGAATTACTTTTCCCCCTTCTTGCATACCGACTCCTTTACACCACTTTCTCTGTCTGGTTCCTCTTTTGTGCACAGCTCCGGATCATTTACTTTAGGAATCCAACAAATGAGAAGCTAACTTTCTGTCGGACCACATTTCGGCAAACGTCGAGTCATTTCCTCAAATTAGCAGGCTGCAAAGATAACACCTAGTTCTATTCAAATACATTTACATTTCATTATCAGCCTTTACTGATGGGGGCCATTATCGCGGGCTTACATCACTGGCTATCGGTTAAAACGGCCGCAAAACTGATGGCTTCTCATTCAGCAGATGAGATCCAGCTGCTAATGCGGCACCACGCAGCAGCACTTTGTCGAAATCATTAGAGTCAGATAAGTCCACCAGCGCATGCACAGCCATCCAGTCGGTAGCTCAGGAAAGATGATTCCGTCCCACTATCAGTCCTGTTTTTTTATAATTTCCAATATTCAGTCGAGACCCACTTTTCCTCCAAAAAAACAAGTTAACTACACACATCTTCAGTCACAACGAGAGACTGAAGATTTCTCTCCAATGAGGAAAATCTCAGATCTTCGGCTTCAATGAATGTTGTTACGGGGAGGCGGACTCATTCGGTTGTTCGTCAGTTCTCTATTTTGAAGAGGCTGTCGGCTGATTTTGTCATGGTTTATGGAATACTTACCGATACAGGCGACCTCTGATTAACGACAGTGAGTGAGCAGTGATTTCGGCTACAATTCCATGTACCACGATACCCCGGAGGGAGAGACTGAGAAGCAAAAAGGTTTCATTAAGTCCGGTCTAGATCCAAGTTTATGACATGAGTGGGAGCAGTGGAGTGTGTGTTAATAAGTGCGAGTATGTGTGCGGCCAGGGTGAACACATTACATGGGAGTAATATGCTCGCGTTATGATTTATGGATGTATCATTTTATAACTTCAATGTGTTTCTAAAGATGTTTTGTATCTAGATCCTGCAGGAGCCCTCTGGGCTGCCTTCTACACTCGGCACCATGAGCGCAGCCGCCAGCCAGTCGTTGCTCAGCCTTTTTTCAGAGTTGGATGTTTCATTTAGAAGTGGCAATGAGAAAGTCGGAAGGGAATAAAATAATGACAAGAGTCGGCACGGGGTTTGGATTCTGCTGTGCTCCAGTGCCAAATGACTTGGACTCTACTTTCGTCATTGATCGTTCACCTTATCGAAAAACGCAGAAATGTCAAGACGCCGACAAAGTTCAAATTTGAAGCAAACTCTGACCCACCAAATATCCATACAGCCAAATAATCTATAACGAAAACACCCAGTTCAGGCAATTTAAAACCCCACTTCATCCTTTTATAGACAAAGCTACAACTCAGATCTTTACAGTAACAAAAGGCAGAGGCTTAGGACTACTCCCATCTCATCTCTTAATGTTCGCACTGTAATCAGTTGATCTGAACTTTCTGAAATATCACAAAATCTGCAACAGCGTTAAAACTACGCCCGACAGTTTACTGCTGGTCCTCTTTTGTAATGAACCATCTCAGCTTAGCCGGCCACACACACCAACCCGCATGGCAGTAATGTATTTATTTTTGACAACAGCTCTACTTGACACTAATCCTTCTCTGTCTACGTAGAAATATATGTTCACATCAGCTTTCAGCCTGGCTCATTCTGTGGATTCATCAGAATCTTGAAAACTGAAGAGGAAAGTAGCAGAAACCACTGAGCATGACTAACCCTGAAAGCTGACATTTCAAACCAGGAAACGCACACCCAGACTGATAGATAAGGGGACGCATACGCTAATGAGTTAAAAACACGGACATAGATACACACTGGCATACAGGACTGATGTGACTCAACACACCCACACAGGTGCGGAAACATACACACACACACACACACAGAGGCATTCACGGGAATGTACAAGGTCATACTCAAATGAGTACGACTGCGGGTATGCACTACACAGGTGGAGCAGGGGGAAGCCTCCATCCACAAAACAGACCCTGTCATTATGATGGCAGTTTCCTTAACACGCGGCAAAAAAGAGCCTTTTGCAAAGGCCAGATGCCACAAAATCTTGACACACTGGCAGCCCGAACGAAGCCGGACGTGTTTCAAGATGAAAGCAGCTTCATCCTTCGCTTCTTCCAGCTGTTGTTGTGATGCTTT